CTGCCACACTTCCTGATACTCTCACAACATGATCTCTCCACAGTCTTATGTTCATACACGACTCGTTAAATAAAATTGAAGCGATACGTCACCTAGCCCTTCGAGTTACCAGATCAACCTAGTTGCTGTTTCTTTCTTGCAAATTCAGTCCATTTCCTTGTTGATTAGATTCTGTGAATTTGTACTGTAACTGATGCATATGTGCCGACATAGTTGAAAAGATCACTTTGTGAATTTACACACAATGACTTGGAAGAGTAGATATTGTGAATGAAGATTTTTCATTTCTTTTTCTGTTTTTGTACTAATTGGTTGAAGTTCTTAAGGCAGTTGCATTATATATTTTTATTCCTGTTCCTAATATGGATGGCAAGCAAGCAGTAAAGTGAAATAAACCAAAGTTACTTCCAATGAACCAAAATTCAACCACAAACTTGACATTAAACCATGCAATAAAAAGACAATTAAAATTTGTTCCCTCTAAATTAAAATAATAACCAAATTTAATCGTGATAATAATCAAATTTACTAGTCTAGTTTTTTTTTTTTGGTCAAAAAAAAAATTCCTACTTGATAGATAAAAGAGAATCAAAATTTTCCTAATTACCTTAATAAATAGAAATTACTATAAGAAGAAATATTTTTACAAAAAATTTCTCCCATAGAAAAGTTGATCGTTCAACCAAATTTACAGGTTAACAGATTAAAAATAAAAAAGAAGAAAAAAAGAAATGGTTATTTAACATAACAAATATGTGCCTTCACCCTAGGAGATTATACCCCTGACATATATATATATATATAATGTAATTTCCGGTTTACATAGACAATAGATACAAATTGGGCCTTTCCCCTTTCAAGAAAGCTCATTGACCCCAAACCCTAATACCTCGATTTTGTTCTCTAGGGTTCTTCGTCTTTGCCCTCTGCGAATGGTAATCTCTCTACTTATGTGATGCTCTGCTGCTTTTACATGCTTGATAAAGCTGAAAGATTTTAATGCGTTTTTTCTTTTTACATTTTTTTGCAGGCGGATTCTCCACGCAAAAAGTAAGCCCTATAATTTCAATTGCTGTTTTTCAGTTTGTAGAAAAATAATTGCCTTTCAACATACTTGTTGGGTCGAGGCTTTCGATCTATTGGTGCTGTTACTTTTGCTTTGTGTCAGTGTATTGGAGTTGTTGGAATTTTTATTTGGCTATGTTTGGCTCTTGAAGCTTTCTTTGTCTGTTTTTTGTGAGCCACTTACAATCCGTAAATCATTTTGTCAAAATCACTCTCTCTCTCTCTCTCTCTCTCTCTATCTTTCTGTTTTTCTTATAAGAAAGGAAGAACACAAGTTCCCTGTTTTAGGATTTTCAATCTTAGCTTCGATTTTTATAAATACAGTCATAGATATGCGAGTGGGTAAGGAAATCATACGGTTCTGCTTATATGCTGTACCTTAGTCCATGGAAGATGTTCTACGGGCACTCTGTTTATTTGGGAGACCATCCAATGCTACAACTGTTCATACATGCGAGGTTTTGTCTTTACCATGTAGGTCTAGGTGGTGTAGTTTTAGAATAGTATATGCAAGTTATGCTTATGCTTGGAAGTTTTCACTTTGGAATTATAGAGGATAAAGTCACCCAGAAGTTTTATGTTCAGATTTGTTACTTTTTCCATTATGTTTTGGAGAATGTTTTTAATGTCTTATTTAGTGGGGCGAAAATTGTTGAATTGTGATACTAATGAATCAGGGAGACTCTAGTTACATATGTGGTGTTCATATGATTCCATTTGGGGTAGTTGTTATGATCAACATGGCTTGCTTTCTCATTTTTGACAGTGAGACGACCATTCTAGGGTCTGGTAATAAATGCATTATAGGTGAATATTATCTTTTAGAGCATATTAGTTGTGAGTTTCTTTTCATTATGAAGATTCACTATGTGGGAAAGTGTTTTGCGCTGTTTGGCTCTTATTTTTTGATGTTGTTCAGAAGTTTTATGTCATACATATGTGTAAATCAGGTACTCACGATCCCCTTCTCCGTGGAGAGCTCAGTCCAGGTCCAGGTCCAGGTCTTGGTCTAGGCCTAGGTCAAGGTCAAGATCGTGGTCTAGGCCAAGGCAGAGATCTCGTTCTAGAAGTCGTGGCAGGTTGGTCTTCACTTTTTTGCTTAAATGTGTTGTTCATGTTTATTAGTATCAGTGTTTTTAAAAGGCAAAAACAAGCACTCCATGACTCGAGAGCAGGGTGCCCAAGGTGTTTCTTTGTTGCATGATGACACAGTTTTGCCTAGGATTTGAAAAGGAAAATTAATACCCCACTTAGAGCCCCTTTCTCCCTCCCCATTAAACCTGAATAACCATAACAAATAATTAGAATGTCTTGGTAGCCTCTAACCCACAACAACCAAGTAGCTCTCAGATATTTTTGGCCGCTCTAAGGTGGTTTCCTGCAGATTTATATTTCTTAAATTTCAATAATTCTCATCCCTGAAGGCTTACACCTCTATGCCTTGTGGCTTATGCCTCACTTGTGAGGCACAAAACACCTCACATTATGCCTTTGCATTGGAAAACATTGGTTTTAGTAACTTTAGTTTCGAAAACATTGATTTATTAATTTTAGTTTTAAAAACACTGGTTTTAGTAACTTCAGTTTTTCTGCCATGTGACACCAATGATTCTTATAAATGGTTGGCGTTTTTTTCTGTGCAGATCAAGGTCCAGAAGTCCTGGCAGGTTGGTGTTAATTTTGGTTTTTCTTTACAGTAGCATATCTGTTTATAAAGTTGTCAGTGGTCAAACCTTCTTTTGATTTATGACACTGATATTTTTCTCTGGTGCACATCTAAGTTTTGTTTTATGTGGTAGGCCTGCTGCTATAAATCCTGGAAATACACTGTATGTGACTGGCTTATCAACAAGGGTCTCAGAGAAGGATGTTGAAAGGCATTTTTCAAAGGAGGGAAAGGTGCTTTTATTATTTTCTATTTTATTTAGTGAAAATTTTTAATTGCACTAACTATTCCATTATTCATGGTATAGTGATGAATTTTGCATTTATATATTCTGCTTGCCTTATTTCACAGGTAGCTTCATGCTTTCTTGTTGTGGAGCCCCGCACTCGAATTTCTCGTGGTTTTGCCTTTGTTACTATGGACTCTGTTGAAGATGCTGAACGGTGCATTAAACATCTCAACCAGTCAGTTCTGGAAGGTCGATACATAACTGTTGAGAGGGTAATGTGATTTTCATACGGTGATAAACTTTAAACCATTGGTTTTGTTTTGTTTGTCTTGACTTGGCAGTTTTCTGGTTATATTCATAACTCATTGCGTCAGGTATGTTGGCAGCAATCACAGATGATGAGTTTATCCATGTCAACTTTAGTGAAACAGCTTGATCAATGGCAAGCTTAAACAGCTTTTCAAATGCGCCTGATCAGCTAAACATAGCAACTATATTCCAACAACTATACAACTTCAGCATTCACTTTCAACTCTCAACTCTCAACTAATCCACGGACATTACCAACAACTTTCTAATGAGGCTTTTATGGTATTTCATAACTGGCATTCATTTTGTGGACACTAATCGTATCGCATATGTGCCTGGATATCTTGTGCTTGTTTCTGTGTCCAGATTTCCCACTTTATTTAGTTTCCTCTTTTAAGTTTTCTTTATCAAATATATATTTTGATATCTGATCAAGTATATTAAAAAATAATGTTGCTTGTGGTAAGATATATTTCAGTTCTTCAAATTTTGTTAATGATTCTTGTATGATTAATTTTGTTAACTGTATACTGGAAATTTAAAAGAATTAAGGATTTATATGTTTATTTTCAGTCTCGGAGGAAGCGGCCAAGAACTCCAACACCTGGCCATTATCTTGGGTTGAAAAATACTAGAGACACTGGTATGCTTAATATGCTTTCCTATGTAAATAATAAAAGTGCAGTTGTCTCACTGTGGTTTGTTTGCCTATATCTCATATTTTATCTCTGTATTGGTGACAGGTTATCGAGGTGATCGGGATGGGGATCGGGATCGGGATCGGGATCGTGGTAGGTATCGTGGGGGCTCAGGTCGTGATGACTATGGATATCGGAGGTCTCCAAGGCGCTCACCGTACAGAGGTGGCCGTGATTATTCTCCTAGGGGTTCACCTTATGGCGGAAGATCTAGAAGGGAGAGGTCTTATTCTCCCTATGGCAGCCCTGAAAGGAAGTATGCTCGTGGCTCTAGATGAGGCTATGTGTTGTTATTTCCTGTCCAACAAAATTTACAGACTAAGGGACAAAATGTAGGCAATGTAATGGTTGTGTTCTGGAGTCTGAAGTTCCTCTGGTTTCGTTTCTCATGTTGTTACTAAGTAGTAGGATTGCTGGTTTTTGCCTTTGGACATGGGAATCGATATACAATATGTGGCTTAGCTTATCTCCAAATTTAGTCTTCCCTGTTTGTACACTGTTTTCTGTGAAATTTGAACTATGAGCAAGTTTGGCCAAAGAAAATGGCTCTTTTACTTTTGTAGCTTAGTTAAATGTTGCCAAGTTAGTAGCCATGCTTTTCTTCCAAAGAAAATCCCAGTTGACCTAATCTTAAAAAGTTAAAAGGTTGCAAAGGACCACTAGTGTCGTAGTTTGGAGCAACGAGTGCATGAGCTAAGGACTCTCTCTCCTCTTAATATTAGGAAAGGTCCTAAAACACAAAAAATATTTTAAAAAATATTAAAAAAATTAAAGGTGCTTTTGGCGCAATCAATCTCTGCCCGATAAAAGTCATTGGCCCATAGCTGGTTGCGTAGGCAATGATGAACAATCTGGGCCTAGCCCAACAAAAAAATATTAAAAAAAATTAAAGGTGCTTTTGGAGCAATCAATCTCTGCCCGATAAAAGTCATTGGCCCATAGCTGGTTGCGTAGGCAATGATGAACAATCTGGGCCTAGCCCAACTATTAATTGTACAACTTATTACACACGAAAAATGAAGAAGAAACAGATATAACTCTTTGTTTTCATTTTGAGGGAAGCTTAAGCTTAGCAAGTGCGAGGCCATGTCACTCTCTGTAAACCCCCAATCCTCTAAGCTTTTCTCTCTCCTCCCCGCCAAACCTCTCTCTCTCACCACCACACCTCACAAGCTCTCACTGCCCACAACCATAAAGTTTCAGAGAAAACTACACACACTCTCACCCTCTGTTAACTCATCTTACTCCATTCAAAACGACCCTTTCGAAGAAGACCATGTAATCGGTGACTGCGTTGTCTTCGAAGAGGGCATATTCGACGACCCTTATCTCCAAAACAACACCAAAGTCGATACTTTTAAGCCAACCAAAGCAAAACCCAGAAAAGCTATCGATGAAATTGGGTCTGAGAACTTGGTTCCGGACCAATGGAGAGATGTACAAGCAGAGATTAATATAACGAAGAAAGAGAGGCGCAAGATAGCTCAAGAAGTGCAGTTTGGTACGAGGGTCGAGAAGCGGAAGAAGGGGTTAGAGCCCATAAGGGATTTGAATTTGGAGGAGTACTTGGCGTACAGAGAGGCCAAGTTGAATCAATTGAAGCCGCTTGTTTTGGATGACGCTTCAGGTTTGGCTCAGGTCGAGGATGCTAAAGCTAAGGAGTTGAAAGATAATGAAGGTAATGATGGGTCTTTGAGTGAGCGAGTGGCGCCTAAGAATCCAAGGTGGGCGGTTTATGGGAAGGGTCTGGAGGATGTTACTGAGTTCTTTAACAGTGAGCATTACGAGCCTGGTGCTAAGAAATCTGAAGGTGATTGCTTCCCTCTTTTCTCTGTTATATATTTATACTGAGCTTTCAGATGAGGCTGAGATTTTCTAGTATGTTCATGTGGGTTCTGTGAAATGCTGGTTTTAGCTTTGAGTTTTATTGAAAAGTAGTAAATTTTGGTATATAGGTCCAGGATAATGTAACAAAGTATAATTTTTTAACACTGCGGATAATCAAGCTCTCTTTTTAACCAATTTTTCAGACATGGACAACTTTTCCTAGGTTGAACTTGAATTGGTCTATTTTTGGGTATGTTTGATGGATATGGTCTGTGAAATATTGTTTGTTGCTTGAATGAACAGGACCCCGAAAGTTGTTTACGAAAGAGGAGAAGGCTATGCTAAATAAGCGAAAACCTGATATAGCTGCTGCCACCTCTGTAAGTGTCACTTGTGTTATGATCATTAATACGTGATGGTTTCTGTGTTCATTGTTAGATTGATTTTCGTTTTTCTCATTAGAAAATCATTCCTTAGTGAAACCCTTGCTTGTTGTACCCTATGTAAATTTGAACATATACAGCTGCCCCCTCACACAATCACATTTTTGTAGTTCTAGTTCGATGAACTTGAAGGTTTTAACTTGATTTTGGTGTATTTGAAATCTCTTTCAGAGCAAATGGCTACCACTTCACACTCTTGCTGCATCAGGAGAATTTTACCTTATGGATGCTTTATTGAAACATAATGCTGATATCAATGCTGTGGATAAGGTATATAAATGGCCACCTTTTCTATTGGAATGTTAACTGCAAAGATTGTTCTTTCCTTTTCATTCTTGATTTGAGCTTTGGTTCATTGCTTTCCAGGATGGTTGGAATTCTCTTCATAAAGCAATTCTTGGTAAAAATCAGGCCATCACGAACTATCTTTTAAGAGAATCAGCTAATCCGTTTATTCGTGATAAAGTGAGTAGATTACCTAGTGAATCTCCGAATCCAGTTTGGTTTTAGTGTGACTATTATTGTTCTAATTAAATGTTTATGTTGAAAACAGGAGGGCGCCACCTTGATGCATTATGCTGTCCGAACAGCTTCCAGTCAAGCAATTAAAATTCTTCTGTTATATAATGTTGATATAAACCTTCAGGACAATGTACGGATTATAAATTCCCATGCTTGCTTACAGTTTGTTATGCAATATAAAGAAACAATTATTCAAAAAGTTTTACTTTGACTTTATAGGATGGATGGACACCATTACATCTAGCTGTTCAAGGCCGAAGAACAGATGTGGTGAGGCTTTTATTGATTAAAGGATCGGATAAGACATTGAAGAATAAGGTAACTTTTGAATGATTCCTTTAGCTTGTGTTTGTAGTGCATAAGTTTTCTGCATTCTGCACATGCTTGGTTGGATGCATGAAAGAAACTATGAGCGATTGCTTCTTGAACTGTCCTTCATATGATTTCTGCTCTCACGTGTCGTAGTTCGAGTCTAAGCACCTTATCAGCATTCCGGTGTATGCTTTAGTTCTTATTGCCTTGACGTGCAACTCTAAGAATGATAGTTGATTGTAATGTAAGTCATCTATTTGTTGCAGGATGGTTTAACCCCTCTTGACCTTTGCCTCTATTCTGGTCAAGAAACAAGGACTTATGAGCTAATTAAGCTGTTGAAGCTTCTTCCCAAGCCACGCTAATCGGTCAATATTCGAACCACAAATCTACCTGATCAGTGTTTCGGCTGCCCAAATGATCTGATGACAAGCCAGGGTTTGATCTATACCATAACTTTTATACAAAAGTTTCAGCATTTCAGATGATCATCCATCAGTCCAACTTACCAGTCACAAGAGCCAAGTGCCAACCACAATATCAACCAGAGAAGGGCTGTAATTTTGTAATTGTTTGTAATTAAAAAAATCATTGAAAATGAATTGTAGAATGCAAATATTTTTTTCCCTTAAATGAGAAAATTTCATTAATAATTTGGGCCGGTTCATGTTATGCTTGAGTGTGCATCAGCATGGCACATGCTCAACACAATCAAATGGAGCTTGACACGTACAGGCATGACATCTATGCATGAAGCAGAGTGTGCTAGATCGTGGTGAAACAGAGTATCCTCACTTTTTTTTTGGGGTCAGCGAGTATCATAAACTCTACGTCCTAACATTATGCCATGTGTCGTAACATTATCTCGTAATATTATGTAACACCTAGCGTTATGCCATGTGTCGTAACGATATGTCATAACATTATGTCATATGTAAATTCATTTTCAAAATCGCAACATCATATTGGATGGGAGATTAGAAGACAGGATTTCGGGAATAGGGGTAAACTCGTTCAATTGCTTGAATTTTAAACTTGTTATACGCAATTTTTTTTAATTGAGCATCGGTTTTGATATTTTGAGCTACAAATCCCTCGCTCGCAATTGTTTCTATTTTATTCAAGCATCGGTTTCATTCGATCTCGAAAGGGAAGGGGGGTAGGTTGGAACAAAATTATAAAAATTAATTATGAGTTCATCTAGTTTAATGACATTGACATATAATTAATTAACTGGGGAGACAAGCACAGCATGGGCATATCTTGTCAAAATTCCCATTGATAAAAGCGAACCGAAGTGGAGCCAGCAAATGAAAAGAAGAAAGCGCCATATTGTTGAAATCGAAAGAAACTCAACGCTCTCTCTCTCTCTCTCTCTCTGTACGTTGATATTTCTTCTTCTTCTTCTATAATGATCGGAGCTCAATTTCATTTGACGGATCGCTCAGCTGCCATCCGTTCGATCCCAAGCACTTGGCCTGCTGCTAGTTCTGCTTCTTCCTCCTCGCTCCACCTGGTCTTCACGGTTCGATTAGGTTTGAGAACGACAAAACGGTGTCGTGGCCTCAAATCGATCGGCATTACCTGCAACAACTTTTCCTCTCGTTCCAGATCCAGCAATGCCCATCACCACGATTACGATTATCTCCAAGCTTCTCTCCTCCTATCAGGTCCCAACTCTCTCTGCACCACCTATGATCACATACATATATGTATAAATATACGTGTACGTATATTTCTATGTATCTATAATAACTTTTTGAATTGATTTTGATTTGATTCTGTTAAATTCTTACTATTTCGTCCAAAGATGAAGTCTTTACCTATTTGTCCATGTATTCTGTTGATTTTTATTATTTTTAATTTGTTGGTTTCGAATGTTGCAGTGTAAAGTGAAGTAATTTGTTGCTAATTCAGTGATGGGGTGTGATGATCATCTTTTGAAGTTGTTGACTGTGTTAAATTAGTGCAGAAACTATATCTCACTACCGTATGCAAAAGCGAGGGTTTAAAGAAGAGACGAAATGGCAGTCCTCTGGTAAATTGCGTCCCTTTTCAGCTCAATCAAACCGATCTCGAAACCTCTTTGATACCTTAGGCCGAAACTTTCTCCAGCGTTTCCAAAATCCCACGATTTTTCTCAAGATTTCTTGTGATGGAGACTTTTTGCTTCCAATTGTTGTAGGTATATAAAATTATGTACAGGAATATAAGTGTAATTTGAAGTGTCACACCTCTGGTCGCTAACTGTAACTTATCTGATTTTTGTTTTTCAGGTGAATTTGCCATAGAAAATCTCATAGATGCCCAATGGGGAGATGAGAATGGGGTAACTGTTTGAGTTCTGTAATTAAATCGGTTGCTTTCTTATGTAAAATGTACATTGATTGACCCCCAAAACTGGGCATTCTGCAGGACTCTCCTGATCAATTCCAGTTTGTGAGTAATCTCGTCGACAAACTTGGTTATCAAGTATGTAGTTAATTTTTTTTCTATGTATTAATTACTTTCTGAAGGGCCGAAGGCTTTTATCATTTTTCCTTTTCCTGCTTTAGCTACTCAGTTTATGTTTATTGCATGTCTATAAGGAAACCTAATGATAATAATAACTAGATTTTAGAAAAAGTGAGTGGTGAGAAGGGAATGTACGTAAGTTTTTTGTCTTAAGAGGACATTCAGTTTTTTGTCCAAGTTGATAGTGGGGTGTAAAACCATTCAGGTCATTCTCTTATTTTGTTGCTACCTCTTCAATTCCAGGTGAATATGGTGAGAATTACAGAAAGAGTGATGAATACTTACTTTGCCGGATTGTGTTTTAGCAAGGTGGTAAACCCTTATGAGTTATGACCTAATATTTTAAGAAAGTGAAGCAACCTAATGACATCAAGGTTCCTATTATCTGCAGCCAGGTGAAAACGAGGTTTTTAATGTGGATGCACGTCCGTCAGATGCCATAAATGTTGCACATAGAAGCAAGGTATATGTCTTTCTTGCATTCATCAATACAAATGCTCATAGACTGTGTCCATGCATGTTCCCGCTTCTTCATGGGCATGAAAAAAATTGTTACCTTTCTGTTGAAGTTCGCAAGATCTAAAAATCTATCGCATGCACATGACCATTTCTTTTGAAACTACTGCTAACTTTGTGTGACACTTACCATGTGCAGGTGCCCATATATGTAAATAAACGGATTGTCTTAACTGATGCTGTAAGAATCAGTTATGGGATGGGCCGAGTGCGTGATACAAAGTCTGCTTATGATGTATCTCTTGACAGGTATTGAGTTGTATTTTGTGCACCTCAAGTTTGTTTCATCAGTTAATTTCTGTTTCTAATCATTAGTTAAATTCGTTGCAGTGCTGCAGATGGTCCCGATTTTTTAATTCAAGAACTCAAGTTGGTTAATAATATCAGTTTAGCTATTAAAGAGGAAAGATATAAAGATGCAGGTATTTTATGCACTGCTTTTCTGACATATACAACATTTCTAGGTCACATTACTTCTTTTTTTCTTCATCAATTTGCTTCTGATTGCCTGATGGTTTTACATATATTGGATTATTTATCAATTAACGACTGGATCCTGCAGCTATGTGGAGAGACAAACTAGTCAAGCTTCGCAAGTCAATTCAAGGGCCTTAACCAAATATATGAGGTTAATCCACTTCTAAATAAGTTGATGCTTCTACGCACTGTTGGCTTAGCAATTCATTAGGGAGATTCTAGTGCAAGGAACACCTTTATGCATTATTGGATAATGAGAGAACTTTTAAAATATTGAATGTACAGCTACTGTAGAATATTGAATATTGACCCCAAATATGTATATGTAAAACCATGTACTTAGATGGATTCTTCAAACCATAAGCATGGTCAGCCTTCTTTGGAGATTCGTATCCACGGTTTGTAAATCTCAGCAAAGTGTTGTATGACAAGAAAGAATGAAATTGCGTTCGTTTGAATCTAATTGAAAGAATATCTTCTTGTTTCTAAGATCTTTGGTGTATTATTAGATTTGTGCAATGCTTAATCTACTGGTATTTTGAGCTGACATTTGAAAGCTTAGTGTACTCTTAATCCTTGGCAACTACAGCTACAATAGGGGCTGAACTCGAAATTCAAAATATGTTATCAAATTCTTCAAATTTCGAGTAATTCTTTTCTCTTTTTTTATTAATTCATTTTCCCAAATTACAAATTTAGCGTCTCCTTAACTTCCTTACCCAAGGGACAGATGTTTGTTCAACAATTGTCACTCCAGTAACCTAAATTACATGCCACAACATGTATTTTAATGATCCAATGAGTAGCCTTTGTATGCAAAAATGACCAGTAGCTATATTCTTCACCAATATGAACATGTACACTTTACAGACGAGAACAAAAGATGGATTAAAATAGCAGCCCGCAACGAGAGTTGCTGTACGCATTTTTTTTTTAACGACAAAGGTGGAGGCACTACAACTTATTAGAATTTCCACTACAAACTTTATTTCAGCCGTCTGCACATGGAAGGAATCCTTGGAGCCATCTGCCATCTGATCGGCACCGGTATCTTCTCACCATCTCCCCACAGAGCATAGGCTTCTTCTCCATGCACAGCATCATCACCAATGTCAAGGTCCTCTTCCTTCATCCGAAGATCAACGATACGGCTGATCAAAATGCAAATCAAGCTTGTGACAACGACATTCCATACGATAATGAAAGCTGCTCCAATGATCTGGTACCCCATTTGTATGATGCCATGACTGTAATGGCCAGTCGGGTACATCATTCTCAGAAGGTTGGCTCGAGCAAAGACGCCTGAGAGGAGACCCCCCAACAGGCCGGCCACGGCGTGGGTGTGAAAGGCCCCCAATGTGTCATCAACACTTTGGAAGAGGGCTGATCTTCTGTGCAATACCATCATGGTGTACCAAGGTATTGAACCAGACATTGCTCCCATTATTATTGCTGCCCATGGCTCCACAATCCCTGCGCAGGTAGATATTATTTGGTGGGATGCTGCAAAATTGCTTCTTCTTACTTTCTTAAATCAAAACTCGGTTCATAAACATTCATAACCATCATGTTTTTGTCTGGTTGTTTTACTTCATTTCATAGAAAGTGACAAGCAGCTACTAAAAAACATGTTCTTGAAAGATATTTTCTACGGCCTTATGAAAGCAATGTTTATGCTATGTTTTCTTGCCATATAATATATATATATATATATATATATGTTACATTATCAGCCTATTTGGCACTACACTTCAAAACAAAATGGATGAGAGATAGTCTGATAACATAACATGTCATGCTTTTGTGCAAGAGAACGTCTTCATTCATTATGTCAATTGAGCAAGGATTAGTTTACCTGCACCAGGTGTGATACAGACGAGGCCAGTGATCATCCCCTGGACCGCGCCGATCACAGAGCTTTTCTTGTACACTACCATATCAAGGGAAACCCACACCAAGAGGCTAGTGGCAGTGCATATATGGGTGTTGATAATGGCCAAAGATGCAATCAAGTTTGCTGCAAATGGAGAGCCACCATTGAACCCTGTCCATCCAAGCCACAAAAACCCTGCACCTCCCAACATGTGAATTATGTTGTTTGGAGGGAAATGTTGCCTGTCATGTGATTGCCTTGGTCCTACCTATATGATAGCAACATTCAATACTAAATCACCACCCAAAAACAAAACAAAAACAAAGAAACAAGTATTATACATGGAAGGGTATTGGGTATCCATATCAATTACCCAATAAGCAGCAGTAAAACCAGCCACACCAGATGACAGATGAATCACATATCCACCAGCATAATCAATGATGTACTTCTCAAGAAACCCTTTTCCCCAAATACTGAAAGCACCAACTGTGTAAGAAAAGGTGAGCCACATTGGCACAAATATCATCCAAGCGTAGAAGTTCATCCTCCCAAGCAAGGAGCCCCCAAGCAATATCACTGTAATGGCAGCAAAAACAAATTCATAGTAGACATAATCAGCCATTGGAACATAAAAGCCTCCATACTCAGGGAGGAGAAACTTTTGGGTCAGAGCAAAACCAGGCTTGCCCAATATTGGGCAAAATCTGGTACCAAATGACATGTTGTGAGCCCAAAGAACCCAACAGATGAGGGCTGCAGCAAAGGCGTATAGGGCCATGAAAGCTGAGTTTACAGCCCATTTCTTCTTCACCATGCTTCCATAGAGTATGACAAGGCCAGGAACACTCTGCATGCCTACCATGGTGGTTGCTATTAGCTGCCATCCATTGTCTCCTTTGTTGTTCCATCGTGGTGATGCTTCGTCTGGCAGGAGATTCTCGGGGAGAAGTCCGTTGTAATCGCTATAATTCATCGAAAGCGGTAGAGAGGAGGAGAGAAACTTTGGTGAAATTTTGGAATATCTTAGCAGGAACAGCAAATATATAACAAAGTTATGAGTTGGTATTGCACTTTGTAATAATCTACAAGTTTGGTTTCTTGTAGAAAAGTATATACTTAACACTCATTGCTGGCTGATGTTACAGATTCAATTTGAAATTCTTAAAGCAGTAAGCAGGGGCACCATAATTTGGGTGCACTCAATCAATTTAGTTTTGCTTGGCCTCTGTCATTTGAGTTGTTGTTGCACTAACATTCTGAAAGCAACTCTTATTAGAAAACTTCAAAAGTTTGATACTATTTGTCTCCACACTCCACATTAGCTAGAAGAGTTGCATCAAATGGCTCCAAGAAGAGGCATAATTTGGATGTTGGCATGGGTTTGAATATGGCAGCTATTGCTTGGTGAATATGTAAGAATATTTTTTGGTTTAAATTACACCTTTGAATATTCATTTTTGTTTCCTTTTTATCTCTTTGTGAGTGATTTCATTAGCTGGGAGCGTGGAAAGCTATGGCCCATGGTATATTCTGCTTGGCCTCACCTTGAGAAAGAATCATAACTTGCAAATTGTTTAGGAACAAATAAATAAAATACATGTTATATGTGTTTGCTATAGCTTTGAACCTATTGTTCCTTCCTCCAATTGACTTAATGAAGATTCTGAGAGGCTTCCACACTACAAAAACTCCCTCACTTCTCCACATTTACCCAAAAATCAATATAAAAATTCTCCCAATTCTCCACACGAAACTTGTTGCTTTATATGCATGGCTCAATCATGCAATACTTCTAATTTTCATTTAAAAAATAAATAAAAAAAGAAGAAAAAAAAAATATTTCCAGCCATGAATTTCATGAACTGAGGAAGATTAGACTAGAAAGCCTTTCTAATGAAGTCCAAATTCTTCCTGACACTTGCAAACCTCATTGATTTATACATGAAAATAAAAAACCAATCGAGAGAAAAACCAGACACAAAAAAAGGAAGAAGAATTAATAAAGCTTTCATTAATACTTGCCATATTTATGCCAACAAAGAAGCATCACCACACACCTCCTAACAATATAGAACCTGGACCTTTTCTCTCTGATCATGCTCCAACATCCTTGCCTCACTGCACACCCACCACCTCCACCTCCACCTCCACCTCCAGATGAACTTGAAGAAGAAGAACCACCCAACCCTTTACGCCTCACTTGCTTTGATGTGCATTGACCCATAATCTGTCACCAAACCCTCCAAGCTACTTTGAAAAAAAAGAAAAAAAACCAAAACAGAATGATATATGGTACAAAGAATTGATCTAATTAACCCCAACCCAAAACAGAGCACAGCCAACAAAGATTTCTCATATATTTTTCCAGCTTAAACCCCAATTTGTTGCTCTGCTTCAGAAAAAAAAAAAGAAAAAAAGTAAGAAACTGAGAGATTTATGGTACAAAAGAAGTAAGCTAATACACCCCCAATCTAAACAGAGCAAACCCAACAAAGCTTTGCCATATCTTTCCTGCTCAGCCCACATCAGCCAGAGTTATAAAAACCCAGAAGAAACCCACTTCATGATGTTCTTCATGTCAACCTCTTGTGTCTCTCTCTCTCTCTGACTCTGTTTTTGTCTTCTCTGTGTCTCCTCTGTGTTTTTGTTTCCATTAATGTTATAAATTGACAAATTAATTGCCAAAAAGCAAAGGTTTTTAGTTTTATTTTATAATTCTGTTGTTGTTACGTTTCCTCGCATAACACGATCCATCCGACGGTGGTGATTTAATCGAGACCACTCTTGCGGTTTTGTCGTCCACGTTTCCTGTTATGATTGGCTCATTACTCAACCGTTGTGTTAAGCAAAAGGTTTGATTGTTATATTGGTTATGGACTTTTTACTCGAATAATAATATTTCCTTTTTTTTCCTTTTAATTTCCAGCTGGAATTAACAATTCCTAGACAATTATGAGCTGCAGCAACCCAATTGGTTTTGAAAAGGTAATTTATTGGGTGGAACAGTCTTTGTTTAGTTGGATAAAAGGTAATTTACATTAACTACTTCACGGTTAATCCAAAACAATAATATCAAAATTTACAATTTTTTTTATGAAATTTATGTTATCCAATAATGTGTACAATTTCTTTCGCTTTGAATTAATACGGAAATTCCAATAACAAAAAAGAATTAATACGGAAAATAAATTATAAATGAATGATTGGGTTTTCTTTCTTGCATTTAGAGAATTATTTTAAGAAAGTGAAGAAAAATTATAAGAGAGAATCAAAGGACAAGAGTGGGGTCTCACGCGTAAGTTGTTTCGACTCGAGATTGTGAGTATGCTCTGATGATGGTGGTGAGAGTAACTAATCTTCCTCTAAACTTTTTTGAATAAAAATGACAAAGGTGGGGTCATCCCACCATGGATTATGGTGCTTAACAGCTTGTGTCGTTTGTATGTGGTGGTTTAATCAATAAAATAGAATGCTATTAAAAACCATAATTTGAGATTTATGAGGTTTTTTATTTGTTAATAACAGGGCACTTAATCAAATTATTCCTACCAAATTCGAGTCTAGTAAGGGACTTTTGTTTCTTTGGGTCATGCACTGTGTTTTCTTCCAAGCCACATATGCTATTCACATTTCGATTGTCAAGGGCACGCCAATAATCCCCACCAGAGGAAATAGAAAAATATAAACTAGCAAATAACTTCAAAGTTCAACAATAGGCATTTGTGGCATCATCAAGCTACCTCTACTCTACAAACCCAATGGGACAAGTAACAACTAACACGATATGATCACCCTAAGGACCGACACCATCGTCTCCACTTTGTAGAACTACGAGATCACCCTAAGGACGCCTTTGGCATCCAAGGGTTGTAGACCGATCATAAAATCCTTTATCTTTCTCACAAATATGAAAGTTTTACGTATAATTCGTCTATCATAATGATTATCATATATAACACAAAAACTTCTCTATCAATTCATTCAATCTTAGCTTTTCGGTCTCTCATTCTACCTCGAGAACTAGAACAAATTACAATCCTCATTCCGCCTAAAATTTGAATCTTTGTTCTTATTATGTATTATGAGTGCGATGTGGTGTCTACGCCCAAACCATATATCATGACATATATATCTAACTAAAACTATGAAATCCTTTCTTGTCTTTCATTTTATGGGACGATCTCATAGGCTAACTTTGCCGTGTCCATCACTTTCACTCGTTTTCAAAGTTCCATCTCAGCGTACAAAAAGCTATCGACTCATTTTTTGTTTTTGTTTTGAGTGAATGATTTATTATACTTGAACAATTCCAAAGTTTCTATCCACAATTCATAATATTCTAACCTAATTGTGTTGATCCTACAAGAAAATCAACAACGTCATCGCATATGTAGGTAGGTCAATAAGAAACAGAAACGTCATCGATCAATATATTTATTTATTTGTTGCTCTCACCTGTCCAATGTTAGCCATTTTTAGATTAGATGCTACTTTTTATTCTCTTTAACGCATGGTATCAAAATGAAAATTAAGGATTGTCCAAAAAATTAATTAAAGATTCAAATTTTTACTTTTTTTTACATTGGTATGAAAGAAATTATGGGATTTCGATTCTAAGTGCCAAGTAAGACATAAGGGAAAGAGCCACAACCACTGTGATAACCCCACTCGACAAGATTCAATATTTGAGAGCTAACATAACAACACCCGCAAATGAGGGGTTTTATTCATCATCCATATATAGTATATACCACAAAGTGTTAACTCAATTTTAATTCTCTATTGAAAAATAACTTGATCAATAAGAAAATTAAAAACCAAAGTGAGAAAGATAGATTTCTATATAAATGTATGCTTGAATTAAAATTAAAATAGGAAATGTGAGCAAAGCAAGCAGATGGAAACCAAAATGGAATATGCTTTAAAAAGCAGAGTAGGATGAGTGCTTGTTCTTTCAAGGCTGGCCCATGACTCAATACAAATTAAATTATAAACCACCAAACCAGTACCATAATATAGTTGATAATACAATAGTATTAATTCATCGAGAATATTGAGCTATGTTAGACTAACCAATCACTTCCTTTTGCTATAGTGTGTGTTGGAGCTTGGAAGGGTCAGTTTTTTCATCAAGACATTTTACTTTGTCTCTAACATTTTCAATTTGACAACTTCAAGGGTAACCAATTCAAAACAAACTAGTTATAATCCAATACAAAACTAAGCTTTCGTATTTTATTGCAGCCAAATAAACTTATAAGATTTAGATAAGCATCACTAAACATCTGGAGTTTAGATGAGTTGTGACTGGGCTAGTGACGTGACGATTATAATTTGAGTAGATCTCTAATATCACATTGGTATACCTCAAGGTGTTATCACACATGAACTGGCTCATTCAAATAATTTTAAAGTTCCATATAAGGAACGAGTGAAGGAAAATTCCAAATTTTTCTTTCTAAAATAGAAGAAAAATATAATATAATATAATATAATAAATATTTTAAAAAACACATTATTTATTTTATTTTATTGCCAGAAACCCACATTTTTCTTTAGAGATATCCATAATTTAAAGAATTAAAAAAAATCAATCCATCATTTTCTTTAGGGATTGTGCAATGTGCACCATAAAACAAAATTAGTTTTTGCTAATAATTAATTAGCGGCAGTGATAGATAAGTCACAGATGAGTCAGCAGGCAGTGGACCCCTTGCTAAAAGCCATGGCCAAATTCAGAGAAAGAAAGAGAGAGAATCTTCTCCTTCTCTGGCTGCCTTTTTCCAGTTGAAGCTTTTCCTCTCTCTCTCTCTCTCTCTCTCTCTCTCTCTCTCTCTCCAAAATCTCCATCTCACTCTTCTTCTTATTAATAGCTCTGACTGAGCCTGCAGAACAGCGCATATTCTCCATTTGTAGTCTATAAATCCATTAGCAGATTTGGATTTGCTTCTCTCAAGCTTTGATTCAGCTCCAATGGCTATTGATGAAGACGTAGAGAGCTGTGGCAGCAGAGCCGCGCTCTCGTCCCACGCTCAGCCTCGCCATCAGAGACAGAAGCTCGAGGTTTACAACGAGGTGCTTCGGCGAATCCAACAGTCCAATTTTGAGGAGGCTAATCTTCTCGGATTTGATGATCAGCTTTGGCTTCATTTCAATCGCTTACCTGCTCGGTATCGTCTTAACCCTAGGTTTTCTGTTTTGATTTGTGTGTTCGTTAATTAGTTTCTATGGCTTATGGCATTGCTTGATTGGTTGCTGATAAACTATAGGAAATGTAAGCAAGAAAAAAAAGTTGGAATATTTCTCATACTTCTGTCAAGTATCATACGAAACTTTGTTTTCCTAGTACTAGAGTTTTCATTTTCGAATTTCTAGCGCGCTGACAGCTGGCAAGAGCTGGAAAAGAGTGAAAAATAGGAAAAAAAGAACAAAATTTGGTTAAGTTTATTAATTTTTACTTTTGGGAATTAGAGTGTATATAATTTTGAGATCTCGCTTGGCTGCTTGTTATTGTAACTATGTAGATATGCATTGGATGTGAACGTGGAGAGGGCAGAAGATGTGCTTACACATAAGAGATTGCTGCAATTTGCAGAAGACCCTGCTAATCAACCTGCCTTCGAAGTTCGCACTGTGCAGGTGAACACATAAGCAATTACTCACTATGTTGATGCTTAATGCCATCTGTCTTTGTGTGTGTGTGCATGCATGCACTTATGAATTGTGCATGTGTTGGTTGAATAGAGTTAGCTAGTGGCAACCATCTTACTTGTGTTGCCCGAATAGAGTTATCTAATCTTATCCTATATAAAAAATAGGGATGTCGTCTTCGAGTTGAAGTATTAATTATAATCAATGTAATTACCTGAGCCAAGTATCCATAAATACTTGCTATTGATGAATTTTTTTTCATCGATTTAGGTCTATCATGTCGGAAACTCTGTTGATTCGGTCCATTCAGATTCTTCAATGATAGAAGATGCACAAAGTTCTTTTAATTATTCTAACAGACAAGGGTATGGCATGATATATCAGCTGTCTTTTCCATTCTTGTTTTGCATTCAATAACCTCACTCTGTTATTTTGTATGTTTATCTTATATGTGCTTCTCTTTGAATTCTGCTGTCATCAGGATCCATCCACCACCTACCTTTGGTTCATCTCCTAATCTTGAAGCATTTGCACTTCAAGCAAATAGATACCATGTTGAAGATGGAGGTAGTGCAGTGAGTTCAACACCATTCTTTTCTAGGTAAGAAATGAACATTCAGCCCGATCTTAAGTAGTCAGTCTTCCACTGCAAAGTGGCTTCTCCCCGTCACTTTGTAGAGGTGTTTAGTTTGTTAAACTATCTGCCATTTTGTTTGTTTTTTAGATTATATTATGATAATGGTGTCTGCCCATGGACTGGGTTTGCATGTGTGAGTGAGAGAGACAGAAACAGAGAGATAGAAGAAGTCGTGGTTTCTCCATTTTCTTAAAAGTTTCTCATCTGCAGTGGAATATGTTTTATGTTCTATAGGATAGTGAATGGCGTGTATAAAAAAAAATTACTGTATTCTTGAATTTTTACATTTTGTTTCCGGTGCTCTCTCTCTCTCTCTCTCTCTCTCTCTCTCTCCCAGTTGTCAACTTTTCGTAATTTATAAGATTTTGTGCTCTACTAGCTACGTTGGGTGGGGCTACATATTTTAGGCTTATGCTCATGAGCCTTCTATACCACAAAGAAAAGAGTTTGATGTTGTTTACCATGAACACAAACACAAATATTCTTAATAATTTATTTGTGTTGGTTTGTTAATTTCGGTGTTAATTGTGTAGGCCTATGCATGAGATCACGTTTTCAACAGTTGACAAGCCCAAACTTCTTAGTCAGGTAGTCCTCATCTTTATATCCACATACCTGCGGTGGACCTTTAGGTTTTTACCAAATATTATTCAAATACATGCCATCATCTTTTGTTTTGGATGCTTTTACATTAGCTGATTATACATCTGATTATGCTCATATCTGTTGATATTCGGCATACATCATTAAAATATGTGTTTCAATTTTCCTTCCAGAATTTCCTATATGGTGGCTTTTGTTTTTTATTTGATATCATTAAAATTCTATGATCAAACTTGAGTACCAAGATACATCATGTCTCTAAACTTTGTTCCATCCATTTAAAGAATATCTTAAACAATGATGTTTTCTTAGTTTCCATATTCCCATCTCAGCTGTGATATATATAGGTTACTGCTGAATGGCTCTGAAAATTCACATTTGTTTATCAGTGGTTATTCGTTGCATGCAATTGGGAATTTGTGCTTGAACTAGAATTCAATCAAGAGGCAATGGACATGTAGGTTTTTAGTTTCCTTTTATAGAATAAGTTTTTATTTTCTAAAAGGATTATGCTGTAATAGGATGATCTGACTAGTGGGGCTCTAGAGTCTTGATTTGTCTATTTTCAACCATGTAAATAATGTCAAATGTTTGGAACTCTATCAGGTAGCTCCGAGTGACTTATCTTTTTCCACGAGGTATGTTTGGTGGAACAGTTCCTAGGTTGTGAACCTTAGAATTTCTTGTTAATTGATTAGGCTATCAATTGAATATAATTGTGAGTTTTCTAGAATGTCTAAGATTCAACAGTTATATGGAAAATTTTGTGTCCTGTCTGTCTCTGACTGAAGTACTCACTCACTCGCTTACTAAAAGATACATCTTAGTGATTAATTTTCCAGTTAACTTCATTACTTGCTGAGATTGGACTGAATATTCAAGAAGCTCATGCTTTTTCCACTGTCGATGGATTTTCTCTGGATGTTTTCGTGGTCGATGGTTGGCACTATGAGGTACGAGTTTGGATGTTTCAGCATAGATGTTTGAGTCACATTCTTCTTGTTCATTGAACAAAGTGTTCTTCCATGTGGGAACATTTAGGAAACCGAGGAGCTTAAAAGTGTGCTGCAAAAGGAAATTTCAAAATTAAAGGTAATTTTGCTCCTTAATTTTCCTTAGTTTATTGTTGTGTATGATCTAGAACAAAAGTTGAATTGTCTCGTGCTTTGAATAGACTTAGACTATTTATGGGTATGTGAATGCTCTGGCCGGTTTCATTTCAAATTTAGTGAACTTTGTTTTTTGTCTTGTGAAAGCCGGATACCACCTAACTTGTAACCATCAGTCAGAAAGTTTGGGTTCACCTTTCCCAGGTGATCATGTGATTCACTGTGAATTCATCCTTTGTACCATCTTTCAATTTCATAATTTGTTTTCCACTACTATTTGATTATTTAATAAAAACCATTTGTAATCCATATTGCTAGTAATACTTCACTTGCAAATCCAGACTTGTAGTTTATTTTAAACTTTAATACTGCCACGGAATATGCATCTATTTTGCCAAAGCGCCCCC